GGCATGCCATGAGAAACAGGTACATGCACATGTACCTTGAAGATCAAAAGTTAATACAAGGTAGCTGTATCATATCTAACAAGTCAACCACGGAAATGTCTGATGCATGCATGTATGTACCCATGAAATGCACATGGTTGTGTACGGCTGCTTACACACTATACAGGCACCTTGTATTCTTGTATGCACTTGAAGGCTGCATAACCAACTGACCATTTTACGTCATTCCCAAGGCTGTCTGAGAGGTAGCCAAGTCATAGCCTCCCTCTCCGTTCCTCTATGGATCAATGCAGATCTAATTAAAGGTTTATAATGATTTGGGAATCGAGAAGTAGTCCAAGTACAAGGTGAGAGACATCTGCAGAAGGCCAGTGCGTGTATAAACTGTGCACCATTAGACACTGAACTAGGATTTTTCAAGTGGTGAACACGGGTATTACATGTACCGATGTTTATGGCAATCTGCTAAGATTACAGACATCCATACTGGCATACGTGTTTGCCAGAGTTGGCCTTACAAAATAAACTATAAAATTATGAGCATCGCGCGAGGCGAATAGGTTGTTTTCTTGACATTAAGAATTAAGCACCAAGAGTTTGCTTGTCGGAGTGCTTCAAATGTGTACTCTACACTGTATGGTACGCACAGAATGGTACATGTATGCTGTACGGTAACGTATCGGTACTGTACGACGGATGTTGAACACCCCAACCCCACCACTTGGGTACATACATGTACATGTATCCTTGCAAAGTCATGCCTATTTTGTTTTCAAAGCCACATTTAATTTTTGTTAATCTCTTCATAAGGATGAGCTGCTGACCCATCAGGATGTAGGAAGAAAACTCCAATGCAAGAACTAAAAAGACAATTTGCATGGCATGTCTGAGCGGGTTTTGAAGCACCACAGGAGGCGGAGTCAAACTCTTCTTGTGAGGTACCGGTATAGTGTACGTTGTGTGCATTACAACTAAACTGCTTCATCAAACAGGCTCTGTAGTGTTGTCAGTTTAAACCTGAAACTGATACCGTCAGACATGATCAACTGCGCATTAATGTACTTCAACCCTTCTTTGGTTTTACAGCGCAAATG